GGCCTAGACCCTTCTTCAGAAATCAGAAATTTCTGAAGAAGGGTCTAGGCCCGAAACGTCAGCCTTCCTGCTCCTCTGATGCTGCTTGGCCTGCTGTGTTCATCCAGCTCTACACCTTGTTATCACCAATAAGCTATATGTGTTTTTTTGATGTAGCATCACACAACTGATGAACAGGATTCAGATTCTGTTGAGGGTTGAGGGTTAAGGATAGGGTAGCTGCAGTTTGTCATTGCTAGCTTCCTCCAAAATTAGTTTTTCAAATATGCAATTTGTTACAGTGAATTTCATACTTCATTCAATGTTAAGTATGTGCTGATGCAGGCTGGTCAATTCTTACCAATTACAGTTCCAGTCTCATCACATTGGGAAGACAATTCCTCTATGTTTTCTGAGGGGTAGATAGAGGATTCATTTTGTAAAGCAAAATACATCACTCTAGGATATGATGCTGTGCATCTTCAAAGTACCTGATGAAACGTAGCCTCATCATAAGCATAGGAGTGTTCTGTACTGCTCATAATTAGCACAGAGTCCCCAAACTGCAGCTTATGCCGTTTTGGTGCCTGGCAACCCAGTCCTTGGACTTGCACAAATGTTTCATTCACAGGTTTGTTCTACATGAAAATTATGGTCTTGAAAATTTAAGGAGTGTTTTAAATGCTTATTATGGCTAATTCACAAATCACAATATATGAGAAAAGCAGTCCTCAAAATATTTCTTCATATACACCTATGCAAACAACAAAGATGAAAGGCTGAGAAATCGGTGCGGGAAGCTTGATAACAAGGGAAAGACTATTATAAAGCCAAATGTTACCAAAAAAAGAGGTGGTAAATTCATACCCGCATTTCTTTAAGGTCATGAAAGTTGTTTCCCACTCTGACAGAGACCTTGCTTGGAGTATAGCTTTCATCTGATTTGTAGTCTGCATAAATACATAGGGTTTTCACAGTTGTTTTCCGTCTATAAAACAATCAAGTTAATTACTGTAACTGCAGTATCAGAAATACATAGCTTAGTGGTCAGGTGCTTGTTGTAAGAACAGCTGCTTTTTTCTTTTTGCTTTGCTTAAATTAACTCCAAACAGATGTAACTGAAATCTATAAAAATCAAAATGAACATAACTTAATGTGCAAAATTGTTAATTGTGGGCTAGCAAAGTAGTTGTATGTGTGGGGCCTCGAGGCCAACCTGGATGTTGCCCTCAATCAAACAATCATACACACATGTACTTCTCACCATGATTTTGAGAAAGCAATCCAGATTATGTGATCAAATCCACATCCCCACCACAATAACCACTACTCCCCACCCCATCACCTCCACCCATTTAGCCCAAGGCACAGTAGATAATCATGGTATTTGGAAAGCCACTTTGGTTCAGATCAGCCAATTCACTGCAGACTAAACAAATAGTGTACTTACCTGATTTGTTTGATGTAATTTCACCAGTTGGCATTGTCCATTAACACATCAGAAGAACCTTTATGTATTATAAAGTATGTTTTGTTTAGATACTAAAACTATTTCTGCTTTCAAATCACACAGGAATATAATTTACAATTTTTGAATCTCTGTAGAAGCGTAGAAATTAGACAGCCATTTGGCTCACCTTGTCCATGCTGACACATGACACCCAGATGCCCTTTCATATCTCATCCATTCTCACAACTGTAACTGATTCTTTAATCAATATTGCTACCCCCCCTTCTTGTTATCTACTCTATCCTTCTGAAAACTCTATATCTAGGAGCTGCCAATTCTGCCCCTCCTTTAGCTAGGTTTCTATTATAGCAATGACATCATGCTGCCATGTGTACCCTTAGTTCATCTCCCTTGTTTGTAATGTTCATTACACTGAAGTATAAACAATTCAACCCCATCATGGCAGCATGGGCAGCATTGTGACTCCGTGGTTAGCACTGTTGCCTCACAGCGCCAGGGACCTGGGTTCAATTCCAGCCTTGGGCGGTTGTGTGGAGTTTGCACATTCTCTGTGTCTGCGTGGGTTTCCTCCCACACTCCACAGATGGGCAGGTTAGGTGAATTGGCCATGCTAAATTGCCCATAGTGTCCAGGGACGTGGGGGTTAGATGTGTAACCATGGGGAATGCAGGGTTACAGGGGTATGGGGGATGATTCTGGGTGGGATGCTCTTCAGAGAGTTGGTGTGGACTTGTTGGGCCAATTGGCCTGTTTCCCCATTGTAGGGATTCTGTGATAATTTCCTTTACTGGACCCTTATAATGCTCATTTTTTTTGACTTTCCAAGTCACTGACTACATCACCAATTAATGCTCCACCTCTTGTTTCCTGATCTGAATCTGATCCATCCAAGCCTACACTTTGGTTTCGATACTCCTGCCATACCAGTTTAAAACCGCACCATGTAACAAGTAAAAGCGCCCACAAGGAGATTTGTCCCAGCTCTGCCTAGATGCACGAAATGCATTTGAGGTATACTCACTATTGCAATGCAGCAAAACGAGTCATCTAATTTGTGCACAGCTACAGGTAGCAATGTGATTATTTCTTTATTCTTCCTTGGGATCTCACTGACAAAGCAGGATGTTGTCCTTCCCTAATTGCCCTTGAATTGAATGGCTTCCTCAGCCATTTAAAAGAAGATGAAAAGGAAGAGAAGCGGAAGAGGAAGAGAGAACAGCTGTTATTGTCACATATACTTAATGAGTACAGTGAAAAGTTTATATATTGCCAATTACAGTGACAACTTAGGTACTTTTGAATCTAAGGACAGCTTCTTTAGTTATAAGATTTAGACAATACATAAATAAAATGTCCAGCATTACTGAAATAAAAGTTCCATACAGCAGACCACGCAGGCACAGATTCCAGTCCGCACAGGGCCCTGGCTCCACAACACCTGGCTAAGCACCATGCCAGGAAGCCACTGCAGGAGGCTGGAAGTAGACATGCCAAGAGACTGCTACGGGGTGGGGGGGCCGCCATGCCAGGAGGCCCCAACAGAAGAGGCTGCTGTGCCAGGCTGGAAAGTCGCCATACCAAGCCAGGAGGTTGCCATGCCAACATGGGAGACAGCTGGAGGCTGGGAAGCTGCTATGCTACAGGAGGCCAGGAATCGTCGCAGGAGGACGGGATTTGTGCTCACCAGAAGCTGGGAACCATTGCACGCTGGAGGCCGGGAGTCAAAGAGGAAAAAAAAGGAGGAGAAAAGCACTGAGGAAGCAAGAGATGAAAAAGAAGAAAAGAAGAAGAACGGACAGAGCGGATGAGCTCCGGCTGGAATGTCCTACTCTGTCGCCATCTTGTCAAGTTAAAAATCAAACACATTGCTGTAGGTTTTGAGTAGCATGTAGGACAGAATGGTAAGGACAGCAAATTTCTTTTCCTAAAAAGGACATAAGTGAACCAACAGTTAATAATTGTTATGGTCACCATTACGGTGTCTTGTGTTACAAATTTATGATTTGAATTTTTCCATGGTGACTTTTGAATTCATATCCCCAAAGCATTCATCTGGGCCTCTGGATTACCAATACAGTAACATTACCAGCATTTGACAGCAATGACTCATTCCAATAGTTTCAAGGCTATTTTCTGTGACTTCCATAGTGATCACAGTTATTTGGTGACTCTAGATCATCTCAAACTGATTGCAATACCTCAATGGTGATGAATCAGTTAAATGTGATAATGATCCAAGAATCTGCTTTTAAAAATGTAGAACAAGCATTGGCCATGATACTGGGAATTACTTCTTATTTTTTTCAAAATAGTGCCATGGGATCTTAAATCCACCTGAAAAGGACTCAGTACCTCCAAAATCTCCAGTGTGAGTCACAATCAAGTTTTTTTTATGCTGAAATCTCTAGAGTGCAACCTTATATTAAAAGTTCATTCATGGCATATCTAGCAGGTTTGAGATTCTTGCTCCCTGTGTGAATGACAGTAGGGGCCATAAGATGAGCAACCTGGCCATCATGATACAGGGTGCCATTCTAGAAGGGGGAAAGAAAAGAAATGTGATTGCATTTGGGGATAATATAATCAGAGGAATACACACTGTTCTCTGAGCCAGGATCGAGTCCTGAAGGCTGTGCTTCCTGCATTGTGCCTGAAGCCATGAGCAAATTGGCACAGGGTCAAGACACAAAGAAGTAAACATGGGGCTCAAAGATTGGTGTGGGAGAAATGGGTTGAATTCGTGGGACATTGGCACCAGCGCTGGAGAAGGAAGGAGCTGTTCTGATGAGATAGGCTTCACCTTAATCATGCTGAGACCAAAGCAGTCCTAGAGAATTGTGTAATCATTTCTGGGGATAGGACTTTGGTGGTTCAGTTCATGCATGGAAACTTATCATAGATCATAGAATCACAGAATCCCTGCAGTGTGTAAACAGGCCCTTCGGCCCAACAAGTCCACACTGACCCTCAAAGCACCCACCCAAACGCATCCCCCTATAACCCACCTAATATACAAATCCCTGAACACTACAGGCAATTTAGCATGACCAATCCATCTAGTCTGCACATCTTTGGACTGTGGAAGGAAACCCACGCAGACACGGGGAGAATGTGCAAACTCCACATAGACAGTCAACCGAGGGGGAATTGAACCCGGGTCCCTGGCACCATGAGGCAGCAGTGCTAACCACTGTGCCACCATGCCACCCACTATGGAAAAAGTTAAAGTGGGGAGGGCTCAGCAGAGATTAGTAAAGTTTCCAGAACAAATAATAGGGCAGACAGTATAGAAAGGGTCAGGAATCTAACTTCAGGGGACAAAGTATGAGAGGGGGTGCAGTCAATGCAAGACTGAGGGCATTGTATTAAATGCACGCAGTATAGAACAAGGTAAATGAGCTTGTAGTGTAGATTGAAATTGGTGGGTGACTGTGTGGTGTTTGCATATTTTCCCCTTGTCTGCGTGAGTTTCCTCCTGGTGCTCCAAAGATGTCAAGGCTAGGTGGATTGGCCATGCTAAATTGCCCGTAGTGTTCAGGGATGTGTAGATTAGGTGGGATGCTCTGGGGGTTGGTGAAGACTTATTGGGCCAAAGGGCCTGTTTCCACACTGTAGGGATTCTATGATTCTATGACAGGGAGGTGGGCAGAGGGGCAGGTTTGCCTTATTAGTGTGAAATGAAATTAAAATTGATAGGAAGAAGTGATAAAGAGTCAGAAGGCGTAGAATCTGCATGGGTGGAATCAAGGGATGCAAAGGAAAAAAAGACCCTGATGGGAGTTGTGTACAGACCTCCTAGTGGTAGTCAGAATGTCGGGGGAGGCAATAGCCTAGTGATATTATCGCTGGAGTATTAACCCAGAAACTCAGCTAATGTTCTGGGGACCTGGCTTTGAATCTCACGACGAAGAAACAGATTTGAAAAAAAAAATTCTGGAATGAAGAATCTTCAGATAACCATGAAACCATTGTCGGTTGTCAGAAAAATCCATCTGGTTCACTAATGTCTTCAGGGAAGAAAATCTGCCATCTTCACCTGGCCTGGCCTACATGTGACTCCAGACACACAGCAATGTGGTTGACTCTCAATTGCCCTCTGAAATGGCCTAGCAAGCCATTCAGTTGTATCAATAAGTACAGAATTTAAAAAAAAAATGAAACTGGACACAACACCAGGCATCGACTTAGGCACAGGAAAAAGACAATGGCAGAAGCAGCCCTGCAAAGTCTTCCTCACTAATATCTGGAGGCTAGTGCCAAAATTGCGAGAGCTGTCTCACAGACTAATCAAACAACAACCCAACATTGTCTGTGAGGTATGATTCCGTGAGAATGACAATGTCCCAAACAGCAGTATCACCTTCCCTGGATATGTTCTGTCCCACCGGCAACAGAGGCCCAGCAGAGGTGGTGGCACCATGGTATACAGTTGGGAGGGAGCTGCCGGGGGAGTCCTCAACATTGACTCCAGACTCCATGAAGTCTCATGGCCTCAGGTTAAACATGGACAAGGAAAC